GCTCGGCGCGCGGCGCAATTTGCTCGTACGTGCGCAATCAGGGGCGAACCGATGTTCCGAAGGGCGTTACATTCGACATTTTTTTTCATAAACGCATACGGAGGAAAAAAATCCGCACGTGATCGGCGCACACGGAGATCGGGACGAGGTATAGTAAATATATTTTTCGCGATCTCTTTCTCCGCGGCCGAGAGGGCGAGAGGGGGAAGACGCGCATTTCCAGCGATTGCTCGTTACCTGTGGAATGCGTCGTGGCGGCTCCCTCGTACTTTGATTGCATATCATTATTAATAACGCGTCTCACGCGTGCGCGTGTACCTCTTTCCCGCACCTCCGGCACGCCACGGGGGGAGAGAGAGTTAATGAACACGGAGAGATTTCTCCCACGTGGCTTATTATATATATATATCTCTCGTTGGCGATCAACGAACGAGTTGCGAACTACGGCGAACTACGGCGTATCGATGTTCTCCGAAAAAAGATTAAGCGGATTATAGAAACGAACAAGAGAAGGATATAATCGAATTTAAAAAAATTTTGCTGAAATATCTGAAAATTTGGCCAGATACTAATCTGAAAATGATTTTGAAATAATTAAAATAATTATGCAGAAAACTTAAACGTGGTGATAATACTGTAAATATTTTTTATATTTTAGTAATCAGTTGAACGCTGTATTTAATTATTTTAATTCTTTTGGGTTTTTAATTATTTTAATTATTTCAACATCCTTTAATTATTTCAAGAAAATTATTTTCAGATATCCGATTAAATTTTCAAATATTTTAGCAAAACTGTTCTTCTTCTTTTTGTGTATCATTCATATTCAGGTATCATGATAAGGGAATAAGAAATATCGTTATTTAAATCATCGTAGAAATGTCACTTTTAATTAACACCGTTTATTATGAAAAAAATATACCTTCCGTTGGCGATCAATGAATAAATTGCGAGATTGAAAGGTGATCATTATTCAAGAAAGATTAAGCAGATTGGAGGGGCGCTACCGAATTTTAAGTATCACGGTCAAAGAATACATAAAACGCCATCATTTAAATATCACCGCAAAAATGTCACTCTTGACTGACGTATCTTAATAAAAAAAAAAAATCTCTTCCTCTACTAAAATCCGCTTTATTAACGAGAATCTAATCAGATTTATCTTTAATCTTTCCGCACAATAAAATAATCGTCGAGCAAACGTCGGGCGTAACGTTGCTGCGAGAAATGTGTGCTATTGAAAGGACTTAAAAAGCGTAGCTATCCTGATTTCTTTTTTGTAAATTCATTTCTGAGATAATTAAAAAACGGCAGAACGGCTCGGCCGATTGTCCAGTATTGATTCATCGAGATGGATGGGTGGAAGCTTATTATTCGATTGCCACGCATATCAGCGCGTATTATCGAAGGCTGGATATTTCATGAATACATTGTAGAAACGCGAGTCATAACGTCGTTCCAATTATGAGGCGTAATTGGACGTTGAACGCGTGCAACGCCTTGATGGTTTCGCGCGACCGTGGAAGGACGGCCGGCCTTCGCCTCGCCGAGTTGTACCCTTGCAATTCTCGTCAATCTATATGAAACACGGTATTTTGCCTACATTGCGGCTCGTAAAAGTGCGAAAGTTCCAGCGACGGCGGATAATTTATATTGATTAATCTTGAAAACGTCACGGACCGCGATGAAATATGATAGAATATATCGAGTTACGAGCGAAAATATTTAACGTCAAGTAGATTGGATTAATCAGTATTTACGGTAAATTTTAAAATAATAATAAATCTGACTAATAGTATATAATAATATACAATTATGTAATATTATATATAATTGTCAATGAAACGAATTGAAAATTTATATATCAATATAAAAAATTCAGATATAAATCAGATATAAATCAGAGATTAATCTCATTGGATAAATTAAAATAATGAAATAGAATACTTAAGTATACTAATAATAACGCCAAAAGCTTTAATATTTTAGCAACCCACCTGATTGTCCTAAATACTTTGATGACCCAATAAAATTATTTTCCGATCAATTTTCCAGATACATTTAATTAATTTTTAGTTACGCAAGACCGTTTCTTGTCTTGCCGTTTGTTAAAAATGTCCTGGATATACTTCTATGCACGCTCAATGTTAAAACAATTCCATCGTCAAGGATAAAATTATGCGATCCTTCATTTCGAGTACAATCACGCTCATTGTATTCTAATAATTCCACTTCCGGTAGAGATCAAATGAATGCGACTCGCTTACCGATGTTGACGAGTTTGACGCCGTCGGCCTCGATGGCCTGCAGCGCCGTGGACACGTTCTCCAGGTGGTGGTGCTGGTTCGCCGGTCGCGGGTTCCATCGTGGCAGGCGGCGTTTCGTTAACACCTCGACCAGGGCGCAGAGACGCGTGCCATCCCTAAAATCCTCGGCGAGGTCCAGCACGGGGCCACCGCCCACGTCGCCGGCGTGCTTCAGATGCTCGTTCACCCAGTTCCGGAAGGTGTTGGCCTGGATCTCCACCCAGAGATCCTCGTGGCCCTTGATCGGCATCCCCTTGGCGGCCGTACCCTCGGCCGAACGGGCCACCAGGCCCACCAGCTGTTCTGGTCGCAACTGCTCGGCGGACTGCATTCTCGGATTCCTGTCGATAACACCGAGCTTTGTCATGCCAATCATAATTTGATAATTTTGGGAAAAAAATAATTTTACGTAAAGAATGAAATTCCTTTACGAGAAGAATAATTTTGCTGAAGTATCTAAAAATGTGGCCAAATATAAATCTGATATAAATCTGCGAATAATTTTGTCGTGCTACTAAAATGTAATTAAAACGTAAGACGTTCAAATTGCTTAACTATCTAAAAGCTTTTGTAGCATCATCACGTTTAAGCATTATCGTAATTATTTTGGTGGTTTGGTAAATTATTTTTAAATCTGAAATTTTTAAATAGCTTCAGCAAAATCCTTCTTTACGTGTGTTGTTTCTCTGTTCCTCTTCAATTAAAAATTCATTGGGTCGTTCGAAGGAGAAAGTTACTTATATGCATGAGTCTCATCTATGCAGATTACCTCAACCAATTGCAATTTTGTCGACAGACTTTTCATCAAGCTTGAGATTTTATAATATTAAACATCCTTGCTTAATCTCGAATTAGGGCAAAGTAAAGTCGCAGAGAGGGAGAATACATTTACTTACGATTGCGTAAAATTGTTTACGAATACGTTTCGCGTTTTATAATCGCCGTACATTGCAATTGACAATTCGTTTCGATTAAGCGCGCACCGCACGAGCCGCACCGTACGCGGTGCGTGTCGAAGTGCGTAACGAATAATCAATTACGAAATAAATTTAATTGCTCGTGCGAAACGCTCGAGTGGAACACGTTTCGCATGGCGCGACCTGCGAGCGCGACCTTTGAGGTCGTCCCGTTGCGTCAGGATGCGATTTATCGCGGCGGAAAAACCGACGGCGGTCGCGCGCATTGCGCAACCATTGTGGCGCGACGAGGAAGATCCAGCGGGAGAATTTCGCGTGGGTGAAAGTGTCGGGGCGCAAAAACACCTGCGAAACCGGTGCGTTCGTCGCGTCGACATACCTGTCCGATCGCGCGCATAATCGGTTTCCGCGTGTCTGTCCTCGGCAGCGAGTCCGCTGCGAGTCCGCTTTTTTTTTTTAATTTTATTCCCGCCGCGCTAATTCGGCGGCGACAAGCGGCCGAAGTCAAAACGGAGAAACGGCGTAAGAAAGCGTTGAGACGGAATTCACCAATTACCACGAAACGGCACGCGAGGTACCCTGGCGCTGCGTGAAATAAATGATAAGACAGATTCGTGATGGCGGCACTTCTCGAGTCGGCATGGCGGCACACTTGTGCCGGAGATGTTAAAGAAAAAAGAGAAAGAAGAAAACTTGCCGAAAGCGCCGAGGCGTCCGATCGAGATCCGTTAATTACGACAGAAATGCCCGAACTCGCGTAAAGTAAAAAGTTTTTATTATCGTTGGAAAATTGCTAGGCGGTCTACTTTTGCCGCAAGAAACGCAACGCGATTCAAATCTAGATGCTATCGAGAAGCCATCGTTTCGTTTCTGAGGCTAATTCGCGTTTCCGGCGTTGTCCAAAGCGGACGGTGTCTCAATGCTCCGGCGTTAATTTTTTTTGCGAATTAAAAATGGCAAATTGCATCGATGCCTTTACGATATGCCGAACGTAAAAGATTCGACGAGCGCGCGTCGTGTGGGTTTCTGTTTTTATGCGTAATTCATGCATCAGTGGTGAGCTGTTTCATCGCGGCGTGACATCATTGTTGTCTCAAAAGCTCGCCTGACCGCTTGCGTAAGTGCGTAAAAATCTACGCTTGGTCGCTTCAGGCCTCGTCCTCGTGAGCACGTCGCGAACGATTAACGGCGGCTCTTCCGATTTGCGAGCAAGTCGGAGGGCGTAACGTAACCGACTAAACTAACTACGTCGTTATTACTCTCTCTTCTCTCTCTCTCTCTCTCTCTCTCTCTCTCTCTTTCTCTCTCCTCTTTTCGTGTATTACATAACAGTCCATGAAGTCCAGGCAAATCGTCCGGCCTGAGATCGCGTGACTTGACGATCGCGATCGAGAACGTAATTGAGACGTAATAAAAAAGCACCGTAAAGAAGATTTGGATTTGTTATAAAAAAAGAAGAATCCGCCGTTATACTTTTTAATGAGAAGTCTAGAATTCGTGCGCGGCAGACGCAGAGCGGGGAAGATCCCGACATTTATCAGAACGTGTCTGGCGAAATCAAACAGAGATCGCTCTCGCGCATCCGCACGTGAACGACACGCGTGAATTAAATTCACTTAAGCGATACACGGGGCGTGCACACGCGACTTTCACCGCGATCTTAAATTTTATTCACCATGCACGCACGGATTTTCCGTCATTCATGTCACTCGAGAGTACGCCGGTGAAAAATTGGCGACCAAAGCGTTCCATTCATTATAGTTCAATGGAGTAATGAATCGTTATCGGATTATTTATTATTTACGATAGCGATTATGTAATCGACTGATTGAAATCGAAAAGGCTCCGCGCCATGAAGCGACAAAAAGACTCCGTTTATCAGAATCTTGCTCGAGAATGATTAGTAGAAATTAAAATTAACTTTTATAATTCTTTCATCCTGTGTAGATTTTAAACTCTCTGATATTTAATTGGATTTTTGGATTGACAAATTTTTTATTCTATGAATTGTTAAAATTTTTTAAGTACAAATTCTGGAATTACGCTGACAGAAGGCTCGTTGCCTTTTACGACAAGTAGACATTTCCAGTTCTCTCTTGTTCGAGATCCTTGATCTTATTCTAGATTTTAGTCCTTGTGAAACCATAAAACTGTGAAACCTTGATTCTAAATTTTATAAATTGTCGGATACTCAGGAATACTTGAATTATAAGTTTTTAAGTTCAGTTGATATCCTTGGTATTAAGTCTCAGATCGCACGAAGATTATCTTAGAAATCTCACGAATTATAAAATTCCTCGAGAGATGGAAATCCGAGACCATTTAGAATCCTCTCATCGCAGATTATAGATTGTCAGTTTTGCAAATCTTCCCGCGACTAAAAAGTTCCTCCGTCTAAGGTCGTTGTCTTCTATTTTACTCATGATAGCTCTCTTCCGAGGCGTAGATTCTCAGATGCGCAGCTTGACTTGGCAACTTTGGCCAGTCGACAGCGTCTACAAATTCTTCATTCGACGATTACGACGAGAAACATCTGACAGGTCTACCGTTCGAGCACCTTCGCAGAAGCATTCTGATAAACGGAATCCCGCTGTCCGGCCGTTACAACTTCACGACGTCCGGAGGACTATACTCGTCGTCGACGTGAATCACACGCACGGAAACGCACGCACACACGCATATCCCCATCCACCCACTCGCGTAACCGCGCGCACGCAAGACGTAGGAACGCACGGTATGCGAACTGGTGTATTTACGTTGGCTCCTCCTCGCGGACTGGCACCTCGCGGTTCCACCAGGTCGATCGGCGTGTGGCTCGTGATGACAACGGCGAACGTCGACGACGACGACGACGACGACGACGACGACGATAACGACGAGCTGTGTTACGCGGGGAACGCCATTTTTGGACCACCGCGACGCCGTGCGTTGACGAGTGTTCGACGTGCGTGAGCTCACTGCAGCTCACTGAACCGACATGGAGACCCCTTCCTCTCGCGTTCTCCGACGGTTCTCCGATACAATCGCCCGTTGTGGGATCCGCGCGATTGTAATGGGAGCAGGACCGTAGCGGCGAACAACATGGCGCCGACGTAGCGGTATCAAATGCTGGACTTGAAGGATGAAAACTAAAGATTTTTTTCACGTCAATTTGCTACTTAATTTGCTTTGTTTAAAATTAAAAAAAAAAAAAAAAAACAAGAGACTCTCGAAGAACGACGATAAATATAAATCACGCGCAATCGATGACTCCCCTCGTGATTCATGGGAAAAATCAAAGTGGTTCTCGAAATCTCGCGAAAGCGATGGGGCAGATATTTTGGAGAACAGTATCGCGCTTGCTGGTAGACGACGACGTGGGAATGAATATGTAATATCGGTTTTACGAAAATAATATCGACGATCTACTTAAGTTAAAATAGATCAGATTTTCTTGATGCATTCGCTACGTGAACACATTTTTTTGAATATTTTTTTCTACATACATATTATCACGCATATGTAATTTTTCTTGCTATATCCAGGTGTGATTTGAGTTATATATCGCAGATTTGTCGCATGATACTTTCCTGAGTTCTGGGCGGCAGAAACGGACAAACGGTTCCGCAAGGTGGTGGCACCTGCCGGAACCGTAATCGTCATTGCTGCATACGAACAGGAGAGCTTCTCTGCGCCTAAACGGCATTAATGAACGGCAATGTTTAGAGTTTGAACATCTCCTACCCTATTCGGCGCATCTGTGACGTCAACATAATTCTAATCGTATGAGAATTTCCTTAGCGCGACTATAATAGCGCAGCGTAACAACCTGTCTAGCTGTAATGTTTATCCATAACTGAACGAAGGTTAACAATTAGCAGTAATGTTGTCTTAGATCTGTATTTCAACTAAAACTAATTGGTTTTTTATCAAATAAACATGACTTTTTTTCATGCAATAGTATAATTTTAATTGTCTTTCTTCATTTATGACAAATAAAAGAAGAAAAAATTACGGACTGCATCCTTTTTTATAGTTTTCTCTCATATTTTTATTCATTTTAAATATTCGGCAAACATGTAATGAAAGACAAAGATGCAGAATGTAATATAGAAAATACTATAAAAGAACATGCGATATCCCCTGAGATGATTTCGTATGATGACATAGCGGAGACTTCGATTCCAATTATGCGAATTAAGCGAGATCTCTCTCGATCGGGCGTTGATATCTCCGCGCGAATCAGCGCGCCGATCCAAAAGTTCAACCCACTCTCGACACATTTCGAAACGCTCTAATTTATTCGCCTTTGTGCGGTGCACAGTGGCGAGATACAATGCCTGACATTAAATATTACAAAACGTCGATTTTTCACAAGGAAATTACGATATTACGTTGTGATATTCTAATTACTGCTACTATTACAGACTGTGACGTGGTCATATTTAATGTGAATGCATGTGCTATATTGTAATATTTATACATATATTTAC